ATCCAGAAGTGTTCTCATCAGGATCCCATTCATCAAGTGATGGTAAGTCAAAAGAATCCTGTAAAGCATAATCAATATCATGACTATATCAGCCTAGATAAACTGCAAAATAAATTATAAAACCTGAAAGGATTCATTGTGTTGCATATGTGATGCATTCCCCCTCCTATTGTAAACCCTGAAGGAGGGTAGAATGTCATGCAGACAAAAATGCACAGATCAAGAGAAAGGTTGAGGAACGCAGAGATGGCTTCAAATAAACATGATTAGATACTTTCTCCTTTCTCTCTAATCAGTCTCTTCCAGACATTCTGAATCGGCCCAACATTATGTCATAAATTGAAAAACCCAGAGTTTCAAACTACCTATAAACTGAATTTAACATTTAATTCAAATGGGAGCGGGGACTAACCATCATAGTTTTTACTTAAGACACGATATCTGCATTTTCAGGGAGAAAGACAGAACAAATATGGGTCAAGGGAATAGAAATAAAGGAGCGATTATGTTAATAATTGTAGAGAAGAATTTCTGCTATCCTGCACATATTTTTTAAGAAGAATTAGGAAGTAGAGTCAAATGTACTTAGAATTATAAAAATAAAGGCATATTTTTTTAAGGAAAAAAAACTTGGCTCTAGAGGAATGATAATTTACCTCATCAAAGGCTCTAGTAAGGACATTATATCGAACACAGCATCTATATTGTTGAATGATCAATGGATTTAACTATACAAAATAAAGCAGGCCTCAAATGATCAGCAATTCATGCATAATAATTTCATAAATTTAAATTTAAAGGTGAAGGCACGATAAGAAATTGATTGGTTTCATATTTGGGAAAGCTTCTCATAAAAAAAAGCTAGAACGAACATTCCAATATTGACCATATGACCTATATAGCCACATAATTAAAGGATTTAACTACAAAACATAAGGGATTAAACGATGAACAGTAGCACATAATATGCAAATAAAAAACTACTAGTTGGTAAGCATAGCATTGGGATGACATTAAGACTTACAGTCTCAAAATCACAAAATAACTAATTCTACAATGGACTAGAAAAATGTTCCCTGTAGTGAGCCTCAGATTCTACCCCTTGGGATTTGTGAGCTTAGCAAATAGGAAGTTGATGTAGAACCAGTAATGAGAACAAGAGAGAAAGGGAGAGTGAGAAGCGAGAACTAGAGATAAAAGGATGAAAAGCAGGAGAATATATGAGATGTTATTAACTTAATAAAAAATGACCTAGCCTAATCGTTAAGGACTTTATATGGAGTCCAAGAGGCATCAAGGTAGCTAAAAACATAAATTAAACAAAAGGATACATCGCGGAAAAGAACAACAAAAAGAATAAATAACCTGATAATTAAAGTGTTTCAAAATAAAATAAATTTAACTTCCTAATACTATTTCCTACGCTTCAAGTAAGTCTTTCACTACGTTCCATCGAAAGTCCTGAGCGATGTAGAATTCTCAATTTTAGACTCATATTTTACTATACAGTGCCTTAGGCATTGGCGACTATGCTTTCAAATTAAAATAAATAACAGTAACACAACCTCACAGAATTGACACTTTAAAAATGATGCTCCACATATGAGGCCTAAAATAAAGAAATTAATAAGCAAGTCCTACAACCCACTCACAGATTAAAGGCCACATATTACTGCAGGAGGAAGGTAAAAGCAGAATTGGTTATTCATTGTTCAATGATTTCAATCTACAATCAGGGATCTATTAAAGGCCACTCAGAGAAGCCCATTCTATGAGTAGTTCGAAATATTTATGATCGCTGATTGATATTAGTGAAAATGACTACTATGAGCAGCTATTCTGTATATCACACGACCTCCTTGAAGTTAAGTTGTTCTCACATTTACACGCAAGGGATCTAGAGCTCTTTCTTTATAGTACTTCGAAGGCTCAAGATTACAGGCTTACACATTGGAGTAAATAAACTGTTTTGAACTTCCTTCTTTATGATTGTTGTCTCAACCAAATTATTAGGTTCGCCAGCAGTGATCACCAAACGAGTTCAAGCGACCAGAGTTTTCAATGAATGGATTATTCTCAGACGGAAAAAATGATAACAAATTAAACAAAACCATAAAAGGCGTTACAGCATAAAAGGAAGTCGGAACTAGGAAGATCAGCACAAGCATATACCCGGGCGGAACAGGATTCGGAACTGCGGTAATGAACGAACGAATAAGATCGACCTTGAGCAGACATAGCGCGAGAGAAGTGTTTGTAAGATGCGAGGAGGAGGTGGTGGCGGCCGAGGAAACGAGAATGAAGATACATCGCCGCCACGGAATTGCGGAGAAGAAGGAGATCTCAGGAGAGTAGGTGAGAGGAGGTTGAAGAAGAAGGAGAAGGAACCGGGCGAGCCATCGAAGGAAAAGGAGCGAAGAGGTCGAGGGAAGAGGCTTATATATACAGGCAAGCATAGTGGGGAAGAGAATCTGGACTGCGCATACGACGAAAATTATAAAATGCCGAAATGAAGATCGTCCACCTGACCGAGACACTTGCCATTGCTCACTTCGAAATCATCGCGGGATTTTGCTCATCAACACGCGCCTCGAGAAGCATTACGCCACGCGCTTTTATATTTTGGGCTTTTGGCACGTACAAAGTCACGGTTCAGATCGGTTTGAAATAATTTATAAATAATTTTTTAATTGTGTTAATGAAATATGAGATAGGGGAATTTTATTTCAGCTTACATATTTATAAGTGATTCTAAAAGGCATCATTCATATTTCATATGAGCGTGACAAGAGTTTTTTTATTTACTTTTATTGTTTTTGGCCAAATAAAGAAAATATATTTAAAGGAGATGAGTTCCCAGTCCAAAAGAGGCATGCAATTCATAGTTACATTAAGCGTTTAGTTTTTGCATTTATGGCTATGATTATGAACTCGAACTATTTCTAGAGGCTCAAGAAAAATGATAGTGCAAACTAAAATTTCCACAAAATTTAATTAAGATAGAGAGAAGAACAAGTTGACAAAAAAATTAAAAAATTAAGGTTAAAATAGTGCTAGAAGTGACTATTCCATGCTTGCAATTTGCATCTTAGTTATGTCATTTAAATGATGATGATGACCACGACTAGGTTTTACTTCTTTAGATTGCGAATAGTTAAAGAAAATATTAGTCATCAAAATACTATCTCCGGTCTTTAATATAAAAGCTTATTTGACTTTTATTTTAGTTCTAAATATAAAACCATAATATATTTTGTCTCTCATATTTATCTATTTTTTTCCTCAAAACAGTTCTCATAATAATGATAGTTCTAGTCAATACATTTGATGAATAAGGATATTTTAGAAAAGATAATACTCCTCCGGTCCTTATTATAAGACCCTATTTGACTTTTTATTTGGTCCTAATTATAAGACCCCAATCCATTTTGTCTCTTATATTTATACATTTTTCAAAGATAATCCTTCTAATAATGATAGTTTTAGCTAATATACTTAATTAGCAATGATATTTTAGGAATGACAACACTTATTTATTATAAATAACCAACTTAACTTACTTCTTTAATCTCCTCAAATAAGTCAATTGGGTCTTATAATTAGGACCGGAGGAATATATATTTATTATAAATGACTAACTTTATATATTAAGGATCAGAAATAGTATTTATTTAAGCTTTGTGAACGTTGGATTATGTTAGTGAAATTCTTACACCGCTTGGTATTGTAAGATAAATTGTTCAACATCATGCTCACTTATTTTTATTAATTTATTTTGTCAACGAAATTGTATGTAGCTTCTATTCTTCGCATTTCAAATATGGTTTTGGATCGAGGTCATTATCATGGATTTGTTTGAAAAGAGTTTAGAAGTCAACTTCAGTAAAAGTCAAGTTCAGTTGAGGTAATCGCCATTACGACATTGCCCCTTCGAGGGATGAGAGGGACGTGATAGTCCCTAATGGCAAGTCTTCACTTCTCATTCTTATCTGATTCTCTCTCTTTTTTTTTTTTTTGACCTGACTTATTTGATTCTCTCAAACTACACAGATATGTTCTGAAAATTTACATGAATCCATGAATTTTACTGCATTTACTCCTTAATATAAAATCTCATTTGACTTTCATTTCGGTCCTAAATATAAGCTTTTGATTTATTTTGTCTCTCATACTTGTCTATTTTTTTTAAAGATAATCCTTATAATAATGATAATTCTAATCAATACACTTGATTAATAATGATATTTCAGGAAAAACAATATCTATTTATTATAAATAATTAACTTAACTAGTTTTTTTACTTTATTTAAATTAGTCAGCTAACTCTTATATTAAGGACCGAAGGTAGTATTATGTATGCAATATATTTTCATACCTATAATAAATTTCTTAATCAAATAAAATTATTCGTAATTTATAAATAATACAATTTATTTTTTAACAAAATTTCCAAATGGACTTTTATTTAAAATTCAAGGAAGCATTAAGGAGGTGAGGGGCGAAGTAAAATTTAGAAAAACAACAACCACATAAACCCCTCTCCAATTATGTTGTTCCAATTGAAAAATGCAGGAAGTGATTTTTAAATTAAATTTTAAAATTTTAAATTTAGTTTGTATTTCATTTTCGAAATAAATTTTTAAAAATGTGAAGTTGAGAACCTTTTGTATTATTTTTAAAATAAGAAATAGAAATAAAACGACGAAATCTACTTTTCAAAAATTATAGAACTTTGTAAGATAAAGCCAAACTGACACTAAGAAAACCAAATTGTGAAAACAATTGAACCGAAAACTTTGTAAGATATTTATGTGATCAAAGCTCCTCACGAACGGAAAATTTCATTCCAGCCCGTAAAGAATACAGAACGTACAGGATAAACCAGCTAGCCCTGGAAAATAAATAAACAAAAGTATGATCAAAACCTTTTAGTTTGAAGGGTGGAAAAAATAGGAAGGAGTGGTTTCGCTTTTCAATGGGAACATATCTAGGAACACGAATTTCATCACCACCAGGACACAACACAATTGATCATAAGGATATTCTGTACAAAGATTTCTCATCAGAAATATGAAATAAATGGTAAAACAAAAACCTTGTCTTTCACCAAACTAACGAATCTTTGGCCAAAAAAACCAAAAAACATCTGAATTTGGCCATATGCCTGCTAGCAAGTAGCCACACTGACTCAACATAGAGCCCACCAAAACTAGCAGTGGAACCATCCCTTGGACGTTGACTCCTGCAGATACACTAACAGAACGATACAAATGGCAGAGAAGTGCAAAAAACAGCCAAAGCTTTGTCCTAGTTATGCAACATATCGACATGGATCCATATTGACATGAATCTGTGATACAACACGACAGTCAAAGGACGATAAAGTATATTGTGTTTAAATATAATTAAGTGATGAATCGTATTTACTATTGGTATTGAATTCGCATTGGCAGCTCCATCTTAAAATATCAGCACTTGTTGGATCACTAATTGGGAGAGGATGCAGGAACCCTCCCTCGGCCCATTGTGAATCCTCTAGTGCCGTCGGGCATTTTTGGTCCCGGAGGTGGCTTTGGTGCTTCAGTGGCATGATGAGAAGAGGAAGTACTGCCATGGCCTGAGGAAAGCAATGGTCAAATTTGTTAGGTTCAGTCCCAAGGGAACAGGTCATCAACAAGAGAGGCTTCAGCTTTAATGGAAGTTAAACCAAAATAACAAACCAACTAGAGAGACAGAAACAGCAAGGAAAAAGTTTAGAAAGATATACCCATTCCATGCATGCCTCGATATTTATGTTTTCTTGAGCGCCCCTGATTTCTATTTCTTTGCCCGCCTTTATCCTTTGACAAATGTTCTCCATCCTGTAAAAGGAAGCCAACATAAGCAAATCTAAACTGGTCATGTTATCTGGTTGTGTTGTGCACATCAATGATTGCAAAACAAAAAAGGGCAACAAAAAGAAAAAAAAAAGGGTATTGCAGTAGGTTGGTTGCACCGTCTAAAATCCAAAAAGATGTTTTTCTCCCCCCCCCCTTTTGGTTTTTTTTTTTTGGGGGGGGGGCCCGAGTACACAGAAGGGATTAATAATAATAATAATTAAATGACAAGTTCTTTGTGACTTCTTAAAGGGTATAAATTGACTATATGTTTTGTATCAAAAAAATAATTCGTTTAAGGCCAATTATATTATGACTTCACTTGGTCGGTATCTAGGCAAAAGGATGCAGCCAAATTGGAGTTAAAAATGCTTGTGTGAACGCAAACCTCTTCATGAGGTGTATCCTCATTATGCTCATTAGAGCTATGATGCTCCCCGTCTCCAGTTAACTCAGATACACGGCCAGTCCTAGTGCTATTCTTCTCAGAATCAGATCCCTTCCAAGCTTGCTTTCTGCTGTGTCCATCCTTAATCTGCATAATTTAATCAGCGTCAACACCTTTTACTTTCAAACGAAGAAAGAAATTTGGCACTAACCATTTTCTTAAGAACTTTAACCCGCAAGCCATTTCTCCAGTCCTGTTCGTCATTAAAAGTAGCCACCTAATTTAAGAACGCACAGACAATATGTTAATCATGCAGGCAACAAAGACCAAATGACATTATAATTATAATTACGATTATAATATATAACTTCAAACTCACAGCTTTCTCAGCAGCCTCAACAGTCTCGTATTCCACAAGAGCATGTAACTACACATGTAGAATGATGAGGTATAAGTGAAATAAATATTGAAATAAATAAGCCATATAGCAATTCCAATAGAAGAGAAGAATAATACAGGTATGATATAATGCCTAAAAGCTGAAATGATCGTATGGATAGTTTTAAAAAAAAAATGGATAAGAAAGTTGGTCCATTCAAAATTAGAGATGGTTCCACAAAAACTGAAACAGATAATTTAAACAACCTAATAACTGAAATTGCTAAGCATCTATCAATAAATTAACGCATTATTTAAATTATAAGTAGTTGTCCTGCTCATACATCAGCATTACCAAAGCTGCTGATAGGCAAAAATTTAAAGAATAGAAATTTGACATATCTACAGCATAGTAAAATGCAGATCACATTAATAACTTGAAATTTCTAGTTCGATTGTGGATCTTACCTACCCTGATCCCCATATATTTTATGTTTATGACTTAAGTTCCCCAAGGCTAAAAAGTACTCCCTCCACTCCTAGATACAAGAGCTAATTAAGCATTTTACTTTGGTCCTAAATATAAGACCTCAACCCACTTTGTTTTTCAAATTTATAATTTTTTTCCAAACTATCCACATTGATTGTACATGTTAAGAGAGTATCTATCCAGGTGTAGCTCTGACCGAAATGATTAAAGAAAGTATTTTAGGAAATTCAACACCTATTTTTAACAAATAACTAAGCTAATTTCCTTTATATCTACAAATTAGTTATCTAGCTTTTATGTCAAAGGCTGGAAGAAGTAATATATAAGAAAAAATTTAACACTTTCAAAGGAAGATCATGAAAGAAGTTTAGAGCAGCCAGAATTATGAAAATAAATCAACTAAACTGTTCAAAAAAATTAGGAAAGTGATTGATCTCCTAGTTCAATAAAGCTAACAGAAACCATACTGTTGACCTCACAGCAATGCCATAGAACATTCCGGGTCAATTGTCCTACATCAGCTCCACAACTTGAAACAGTGATGTGTCCCCGAGTTGAAAAGAATTTTGAAATCTTTTTTTCTTGTTGGGTAAGGGTGTCTACAACAATTCTTTCAGTTTATAACTTCTAGTTTACTTCCTAATATGATTTGCAGCAATACCAAGTGCTCTAACAAAACACCTCCAGCAGAACTTCTAAATCATTCTTCCAGAACTATCACTTAATTGACTCTTATCTACATTTCCAGCAAGCTGACCTCAAACTTCTCTCAAATCCCTTGAGATGCTTTCTCCCTTTGAGAGAAACCTCAACCCTATTGAGAAAGCTTATTAAGTTGTCAGGTCTTTCTAATAACATAAAACTCCTATATTCTACACAGAAGAGATATTTATCTCTGCTAGATAAAAATTATAACAACTTGCTCCAAACAAGTTATCTAAGGATTTCAATATTTTATAACATGATGAATCCAGCTTGCTTCAGTTCTTCAAGAGGACTGGTAATTTCTAAAAGGCAATGCATATCTAACTCTACTTCCAAAGAGGCCAAATCTATTTTATCAAGACGAATGGAAATCTAGATATCCCCAGTTCCTCTTGGTAAGGATGTGACAATTCAGAAATTTTCTATTTCTACACTATGGACCTTCCAGCAATTTATGTTGGCAAGCGCAGCTGGACTGAATCAAGCTAGTCACCAAAACCTACAAAACGCTTCATACGATTTAAAATCCTCATAGAAGTTGTTTTACTTGTTAACATCTGCACCCAACGCAGCTCAGATCTTCAAAACAAGAGTTTAAGCATATAGACCTGATTCCCTACCTTGCGACTAATCATGTTCTGCTTCCGAGACCTTTGAGATCCTTCAATAGCACATGGATCATGGATGCTTATCTTTTTTATCCTGCATTTCAGAAGACACTGAAATCTTAAGCAACTGAAAAGCACCATGATGAAAAGATTATAGCATAAAATGAGGAAGAAATCATACTTTCCAGCTTCACTAAAAATTCGCCGAATGTTTTCCTCTGAGTGATCCTCTGGCAAATGCTCTACCAGAACAGTAAAAAACTATAACCCAAAAATAAGATTCTATAAAATCAAGAATAGCATGAAAATAAATAACTAAGTGCTCCTTGAAGTAAAAACCTTTGGATCTCTAACTTCATGCAGTTGAAATGGATTGAGCCGTTTAACACTTTTCCCATCACCACTCACAACCTACATTCTCATCAAGAGAAAATTTCCCATAAAACATCGAAAATAAAATTCCCATGCACTTTGTATAGACACCAGAGGAAGAGAGGATTATTACAAGTAGGGAAGATTCCTTCACTGCAGCAACTATTAATGAATGATCTCGAGTAAGCTTCTTCATTTTTCTAAAGGAAGCGATGACTGATATAGGAACTGCATGACCAACGTAAGACAGACTTGCGTAATAGGATAAAAATATACATCAAAAGAGTTGAAACTAATAAAAGTGATAATTCATGCATCGTATTGAGTATCAAATTAACTAAACAATTAAAAAGAAAAAACATGAGAAAGCAGTAGATGTGGCCGTAATCATTACAGTCAAAAGTAAAGTAAACAAATATACTTCCTTTGCATTCACATCACTTAACCATTTAATAATAACTGAAAGCATATAATGTAAGAACAGAAGATAGACACCCATTTAATAAGACAATGTTATAAAAACTACATCCCATCGGGCTCAGGCCACATCAAGATAATAAAGGTAAAAGGTATTCTTACTGACAGAAGTTCTTATTCTCATTTAACAGAACAGGTCCGGCCTCATATTAGGCTAAAGCATCAAACTGGCCAAATCGAATTTACCAAAGCCTCTGTGAAAAAGCATTTAGGGCTTTATAGATAGTTTGTTTTCCAGTTTTACATGTTAAAATTGATTTCACTAGTCAAAGTAATAAAATCTAAATGATAACTGAAAACTAATGAAACATGAATTTAAGTTGAATGTACTGATATTGATTATGAACACTAAATAGACATAAATTGATTTTGAGATTGGGCTTACTTAGTGATTAGTGCATTGTAATTCTTTACTTGAAAAAGAGACCAAGGTTTCTAATCCTGACATAATTAGAATTGGATGAGCTTCACACAAAAGGGATCACCACTTACTTACAAGTTCCTGTTATAGTGGTGAGTAATTTACTAGATATAGTAAGTTATCTACTTGGATCTAAATTCTCTCACTCATCCCTCTTCATCTGCCCTAAAATATTACTCTCTAATCCCACATCATGGACTTTAACCACACAAAAAAAAAAAAGGCTCAAATCTAGCTCTAGCCCTTCCCTCTTTCAAGAAAATCTACAAAAGAAATATTCTTTCATTAAACAAGAACTGACCTCTTTCCTCATGCATTTGTTATTTTAGCATTAAAAATGCACTCGTTATTTTATTGGTTTTATTTTAAATTTGATTATGCTTTTGTATCAAGGGTTAAAGCAGCCTTTTGATTCACTATTGATAATGTTCTCTTGGCCTATTAACTGTCTCACCCGATCTATTTCGCTGTACATCTCCCTCCTTCTCTTCATAATTTTTCTCTATTCTTTGCTACTGGTTCTGCCTCAGCGCGAGATTTTATTGGTGCACTCCAAGAGTCAAACTTAAGCAGAACGTTTGATTATGCAGGATCCGTCTTGCACTGACAAGATGGTTTTAAATTCTTTTACATAAGACTACAATAAGATTGAAATATACAACACGATGATATTCTGAAATAACTTTGCTATCACAGGAGTAAATGTTTAAGCACTTTGTGAAAAGGAGATTGACAAAAATCAGGGGTTTCAAAGAGAGACAAATATCTAATGCTTGACATCAGTGTGGACCTTCCACAACATTTTAGCCGCATCATTCGAACTAACATGTACTGTTTTATGCAAGAACCAGGATATATTTTGCACTTGGAAAATAACAAAAAAGGAAGAAATATTCAAGAGGCTGAAAATCATGATGTACAATAGATGTATATAAGTCAGGCAATATATGTCATGAATCTAATTTTGGTGATGCTGAGGTAGAAATCAAATTATAACAAGATACTAACCAAATCCTTCCTTGTTCTTTCTGAGGAAACCAATCAGGAACTTGTCAGTTGGAAGATTTTCATCGCTGAAATAATACTCTACCTGAATATCCATAAAGGTGTTCAGCAAGTAGTGATAAGGTAACAAGTAAAGCAAGGCTAATTGGAAGTAGAGGTGACATCAAGAACCAAATAATGACCAGTATTTAAAATTTTATTTCTCATTCCTGTGTTTTTAAGATAAAAACAAAAATAATTAGTGGAGAAGTATCATAATATGTGATCCTTTGGATGCAAAAGCCGTAATTCAAGTGCTTGGATAAATGATTTAGATTTAGAGGTCTGCAACAATATTTCTTCATATAATTAGTTCAAATCTTTTCTCGTCAAGTCATCTGATTATTGAGAAGAAATTTCATTAAAAAAGGGTATGTTTAAGCTTTTATATGATCTCTTGATTATCGAAAAGCCTGATCTTTTACGTTCTTCCATCTTTATTTTCCATCTCCTACTTGACACGAAATCAGGATGTCATAATGATCCTCCTTTTTGTCGGTTATTTAAAAAGAACATAACAGATTAAATCATAAGTTAGTTAAACATAAAAATGATGCAATGGTTGTTGAAACAAACTGAAGACGCCATTCAGCCCAATCAAGCTCACATTTCCTCAAGCATTTCCGCAGCAATAAAACAGCACAAAGCCAAGTCCACACTAAAGGCCAATTACATAGGAGATGCCAACCACGTTCTTGAAAATAGGGTAGCTAAAACTTCAAAAAGAAACAGATTGTCTTGCCTGCCTAATGATCTTAAGCTTGAGATCATCCACGGATGTAACTGTCTCAGCCGGGTGATCCTGACCGTGGTCGTGCCCCTGCTCCTGCTCCTGCTCATGCTCATGCTCGTGATCTTGATCTTCGTCCAACACCGAAGAATGATTTTCAAGTTCGACGACTTCATCCGCGGGATCGGAACCAACATCATCGTGCAGTGGCGGCGACGGGGAGGAGGCGGAGCCGGAGCCGGAGCCGGAGCCGACCCTCTCTTCGCCTTCCATTTGACGAGAGAGAGAGAGAGAGAGAGAGAGAGAGAGAGAGAGAGAGAGAGGAGAGAGAGACTCCGGAGAAAGGAACGAAGAAAGGAATTTACCCGCCCTTTCTGTCTCCTGCTCTGAGACGTTCCTCTTCGCTGGATCGTTTTATAGTGAGGCCTGCCCTTCTTGACATTTCTTGCCTTCGCTCTCACGGACGTTTGTTCAAAAATTTTCCATTTGACAGATATTTTAAGCATTATTGAAAATATAATAAAAATCCATTTGTCTGTGAGGGTAATATTTTTAAGAAAAAAATGGTAGATAAAATTCTCATAAAAAAAAAATCTAAATGTCTTCTGTTCTTAAGAAAAAATGGTTGAAAAACTTATCACTGCCAAATCTTATTTTAGAGGCAAAGACATTCGCATATAATTAAAAATATGTCGCATACAATTCAATAAAAAAATTCTCATACATCTGCTGAAAATGAGCCACACTAACTTGAATCCTCAAAGAAATTTTATGCACGGAGGTTTTCCTTAGCAAATTTTCCTGTTTTTAATCAACAATGTGAACAATTTTTTGTCATAGGAAAAAAAAAAGACTTATTAAGATTAAAGAAACAGTTTATAAATGTATTTTGAGCAGTGAGTCTTATCATAATTTTGATGGTTAAGATTTAAACTCACTTAAACTTGTATTGAAAAAAATGACATAAAAATAAATAGTTTTATTTTTATATAAAAAAAATAACAATTAAAAAGACAAGTACCACAACGACTTTTATCTTTATACTTTCATCCCCATGTATCTCCTTCAGTTGTAAAGTACTAACTTTTTTTTTGGGCTGGAAATAAAGTTTATTAAAAAGGTGATGCTATCATATGAGATCCTTGCTTGTGCTGTGGATTTGCACACTGATTTGATGCTGATGCAGCATTTTGTTGGCAGCAGCAAAATTCAGGTCAGTTCCATTCCGTGTCGCTTGGGAGAATCAATCCCCAAACTTTGGACAAAAGTTTCTTCCTTTCTTTCTTTTTGTTTTCAGTCAAAAGAAGTTTCGGCAAAGTTTGAGAGGGATTCATTGGATAGTGACACTCTTCTTGCAATTTCAATTGTGTATTTTTCCTATTTTAATATTTTTCTTAAGGAATAAAAATAGAATATATTCTATCGCAAATTGAAATTTTTTCCCTATTTCAAGTGTTGTCCGAGATATTATCGGGGAATTGAAAATCTTTAACTCACAAATTTAAACATTGAAAAAGTATTAATAAAATAAAAAATAAATAATTAAAGTCAATATGCTTTTTTTATTCTAAATATAAAACCCATTTTATAATGCAACCATACCCATTTTGTATTATAACCTATTTTATAATATAACTTATACTATAAAATGAGTTTTATATTTAAGATTTGAAGAGCATTATGTAAAAATAATTGAACACTTTTTTCATTTATTTAATTCTTGTTTATTTACATGATACTATGCCATGTTAATGCTACATTATTATACTATTAAAAACAACTTATTTGATTATGATTGCATTTAAAGTACTTTGTTGTATACATGCACGAGGCTTTGGTATCGTACGATACCAGCTTGTGATTCGGAATTGTCGCGTGGGAATCCACCTGGATTCCGTGGAGGAGTGAAATCTTAAAAGTTGGCACAGTGCGGATTTGGGAAATCTCCACTCATAAAGGACATTAGATCCTCCTTTCGTAATTGGGCCAAAGCATTTTTATACGTTTCTTCCCGCCGCTCTTTCTTGTTTCTTTGGCACGACTGTGATATTGTTCCCTTGGCGGTATGTAGTGTCTTCTGTCAAAATCAATACTACTCCTCCGGTCCTTATTATAAGATCCAATTTAACTTTTTTATTTGGTCCTAATTATAAGACCCAATCATTTCGTCTCTTATATTTATGCATTTTTTTCCAAGATAATCCTTCTAATAATGATAGTTTTAGCCAATATACTTAATTAGCAAGGATATTTTAGGAATGACAACACTTATTTATTATAAATAACCAACTTAACTTACTTCCTTAATCTCCTCAAATAAGTCAATTGGGTCTTATAATTAGGACCGGAGGAGTATTACCAACAGAGGTTGGTCTACTAAGGTTTATGAGAAAGGCACTTACTTACATTAGCACTCAACAACTGCTCTTATATTAAGCATAGGAAGTAGTACTCTATTACTTTCTTAAGAAAAATAATAATGTCACTGTATAAACATTACACGCGATTATGCCAAGTTAAATCAAGCTGTTGGTCAACTAGTGGTGATGTTTTGATTGGTTTGAGTTCATTGGTGGTGAATTATGCCATTTTGATAGGAAATGTGACAATCAGCTCAAAAAAAAGATAGGAAATGTACCAAATTTGTTATATTTTCCCCGGATTTTGTTATAGAATATAAATGAAAAGGAAAAATTAGGGAAATAGCTCAGCTATTTTTTTACCAAAAGCAAAGGCTAACATACAATAAGGAAAAAGGGCCTAGGAAAATAATCACAAGATTGCGCGCAAGAAAAAGCCTACAGCTAGAAAGCCCAACACAGTTTTTGGGAGTATGACTTTGCCCATATAGCCCCAGCCAAGCATAGATATCATCGACCTAATAAACAAAAGCAAGATTAAAGCAACAACCAAAGGAAGCCCAAAATGGCAAGCCCAAGCCGACCAAGCCCAATTCTTGTGGACCGAGAAAACCAAACCCTCACATCGTCCACCACGGGGCCACAAAGAGAGCTCATATCATCACTTCTGGTGTTGTAATACACACTATAGAATGCAATTCTGGTCCTCTCAGCTTTAGCAGTGAAATTAAGGCTAGAACTCTGGAAAGTAGAATTTGAGTTTGGTGTATAGTGAATGTTCTGAGATTGGTCACCTGCAAAGGCCATTACAGCAAGAGGTTGCTTGCATTTATCATCCGCATGCCCTAAGGAGAAGGTCAATGTGTATGGCTTGTCCGCTTTGGTGTCCACCATTTGGGAGATTATGCCTTCTTTTCCTGAGAGCAATTCTATGGCTCTCCTGCCTTGTGGCACAGCATAATGGTCCGAGTCAATGTACCGGACCGCCCGGTTCGACTCCACAGTCCAGCCAGGCAGTGATGAGGTTTCTTCGTCGAGGTTGGTGGGAAGAAGGACACCCAGTGAAGTGTTCCTGAACATCCATGGCCCCTCTTCGAAATCTCCATTGATTACTGCGTTTTCTGCAGTGTGAAATAGTACAAAGCAGAAGCTACTCATACCAAACGCCATTGACCAAATTAATAAATTCACAGCCAGGGTTTGTTTTTAACATTTGAGACATTTGTAATCGTAAATGCTCCAGATTTATGCCATAATTTACTATAAGAAGTGAAGTACAGAATCTGTACTGTTCACTAATTCACAAAGGCAACCTATCTAGAGGTTGGGGTTATGTATTGTATTTGTACAATACAAGGGACACTTCAGCTTAAAGAAATAATAACAAAGCAAGAGGCAAAGTCAAAAAGTGATTACCTTTGGGCTTATCGGGAGTAAAGAGCCTCTTGATGGCAATGTTATCAATGATGGGCCCACAAGTGGGGTCATCCTCCATTCCGGGATTCTTAAACACCAACGTAACCTTCTCGTCCTCCGCGCTAAACGCGCAGGCGAATGGGTTCCACCCATGCACGCTGTACATCGTCTGCAGGTCTATGCTCTGTGATGCAGGCGCCACCGACACGTTCAAAGATTCCATCTGAGCACACGTGCGAGCCGCGCCGAACGTGATGGAGTAGATGGACCCTTTCTCCACCGTGATCTCCTGGCTGATCTCGGCGTCGTTGCCTAGCCTCACCGCGTGTCTACCCTGCGGTACGATGAGGATCATCCCACCTTGTTTCTGTCCCGACTCTACTAACTCAACGGTGCCGTTTGACTGCCAGCTTGGGATCTCTGTGGGGCTCTCCACTATGGATTCCCCCGGGAAGCCCTTCGCTGGTGATGCCTCAAAGTCTCCGTTGGGCACTAGACCTGTTGTTGATTTTCATCAAATGATTACAATTACAATTACAACAGAAATCCCAAATGTACAAATTTCCCATCACTCTGGATGCGATATTCAAAATGCTGGAAATGGATAACACTCTGCTTGAGTATATTGTTCTTTCAATGTTTGATAAAATGTGACAATTAGTTTATCTAAATTATTGAGAAAAAAAAAGAGAGGAAAAAATGCTTTATTGCATGGTCAGGTTTACCGACGGGGCGAATGACAAAGGAATTTTACCTTATCATGTGATTAAAAGTTTGTACATTTATAATTCTTTAGCTCTTTTCTCAATTATTTTAAGAAAAACCATTGATTTACTTAAAATAATTTTAAAACGTGCAGATTTATTAATTTTTTAAAGTTAAAAGAAGCTAATGTATCCAGGTTATATCAAAGTTCATGTCCATATCTATCCATATGAATTTGTACATCCATCCAAATGAGGATTAAATTTTCCGACTAATTCATAAAGGGCCTTTCTTGCAACTTTCATTAATCAGAAAAGATTGCAGAGGATAGAGGCAGATATAGCTAAAGACCAGTCTCGAACTATATACAAATCTTATCCTACCTATCCAACAAATTACTACTCTTCATTTCCCTCATGCACTACCTCACCAACATCCCATCCTAATGAATCTGAATATGGGAAAGAAAAAACATAGCACAACAAAGACGAAGCATATATAATACAAAGTATGTCAAGTTTGTAGATCAGAACATAGAAGCAAGAATGTACTGAGTAATTAAGTGATGGGGCACGTTTCATTGTCAAAAAAAATATTCAGCAGACAATAGGTCCAACAAAATCATTGTTCAGCAACTGGTCCCAACAAAATCACCACCCACATGTTAAATTTATCTAATAACTGACAAGTAGCAATACATTTTTTAATAAAAAAGATCTATAAATTATCCGAGATAAAAAAATAAAACAAGCAGTTGTAATATTTTTGTTGATTGCATTCAATTTTATTGACAGCCCTCCTGTTGCAATTTTCATTTTAAATTGAATAATTTAATAATTGTTTTGTACGTCGAAAGTTAAGTGACTTTTTTAATTTACATTTTCTTTCTTTCGA